ATAATTGTCTATTGGATTAACAAACTAAACATAATGATGGTGAGTAGATTAAAAATATTACAAAATAATTATTGAGATAAAAAAACAAAAAAGTAGGTACAATTTCTTTGATAAATGTATTAGAATAATTATTTCAGTTTAAAGGTACATGAATATGTAAAAAAATAACTAAATGTCTAAAGTAGATATTGGAGATAGATTTTTTCAACTTGATCTCCTTGTTGTGCTATTGATTGAATTGCTCTTTTTAAATCTCCATCGATAAATATAAATTTTTTGTTATAACCATCAAAAAATTTATTATACATAATAATTTTGAATTAAAAATATGAAAATTAAAGAATATTCTAGTAACACATTAGAATTAAGATAAAATTGGAAAAAAATGTAAAATACATACTATATCTAGACATAAAATTTAGAAGCAAACACTTATAATGATGTCTCAATTGATTTTTCAACCAATGCAACAACATAAGATTGAAAGAAAGAAAATAGAAAAATACTTATGATTTGAGATATGGTAGATGAGGATGAGATAATAATTATTTATAAGATGAGATGATGGAAGTCACATTTAGAAAATAATTAAATTAGGGGGTTACAATTAAAATTAATAGTATTGTTGAATGACATTGAATGTAGATAAATATTTAATACATAATTTATATAATTTTATAATTATAATTTCAGTTACATTTTAGTACTTAAAAGTAGATTAATGTGTATGATTAAATATGATGTATTTATACTTTAATTGGAGATAAATATTATTATTTTTAATTTTAGTTTTAAAATAATTGCCAGGTGGACCAATCATGGGAGAGTGAAACCCTACTTTATATGTATGATTGTATTTAAAGTTTTCGTTAATGTTACTGTTTTAATTAAGGATTATATATACTTCTTATTTTTATACCAAAAATTAGTTTACAAAATAATTTAATTACTCATTATTTTAATTTAATTTTAATCATTAATTATTATTAATGATAAGAAATAAAAAATAAAAACATAAAAAATATAAATATGAAATAAAAATGGTAGGGTAATGTGTTGAATTTCTTAAAACAAAATCGTTGTAGATAATAAAAATTGAGAGGGGGTTGAATTATTAGGTAGAAGAAAGAGAAGATGATGTGGAAGAAAGATAAGATGATGTAGAGTGAAAAGTAAGTTGTTGAAAACACCAAACACCAACCAATGTACATAATCTTAGTAGTACAAACATTACATGTAACATGTTATAAATGAGTTTAAATATAGTCTTTATGAGGGGTAATTAACAATTTTATTGACCATTACTGTATCAGAATCAGAATGTTATATAAGCCATTCCTTAGATCTGTTCTGATCAATTTTATTTTTGTTATGGTGTTCTTATGAAATTTTTAAGCTATAGAATTGTCTCTTGAAATTCCCATCAGTTCTGACCTTAAAAAAAAAATTCCATCAAACTCCTACCATGGAAATATGTAAATAGGCTTTCGTATTACAACTTACAAGTAGACAATTTTGATTGATCAATAATTGAACCGATACAAAAGACCAGATGTCCCTAAACCAGATGTCCCTAGGCCATCTGAGCTTATGGTAATCACAAAGCAATATTTTTTTATTACTGCGATTTAGAGACTTCGAGGCATAACTGAGTAAGATACTTTTGACTACTACATACCACTTCTGCATCATTTTGGATTTAAAACTCAACTAAATGTTGGTGCTGTTTAAGTCTCCCAATCTTTCATCTTCTTGCTCCCTTTTGGTTTGGCAATTGGAGCATCCATGCCTCTGATTTTTTTGTTATATTTTTCCCATAGAGGATCACTAGATAAAAGCCTGCGCTACGCGGCGGGATATTTTTTTTATAAAATAATTTTGTTTCAATATAAGTTTGATTGAAAAAATATTTAGAAGGCTCTTAAGATTTGATATCTTGCATTTGCTCATATTTTAGTAATTTTTACTTTATTGTATAATTTATGTATGTATACATTAATAAACATGTTATATATTATTTTTACAAAATAAATGTACCGTCTAACACATGTTATATATTACTTTTACAAAATAAATTGATATAAACTCACACATAATTTGTTTGTTTTGTTGATATATATTCACACATAATATTTTAAATTCATATTATTTGTAACTGACAAACTAAATTTGTTTTTTATGAACTTCAACCTAAAATTTTTTAAAAAAATCCAAGGATAAAAAAAATAGAAGTTACCCTTGTATTTATTAAAAGTTTAATTTCACTCATCAATTTAAATTCTAGTGGTAAATTTCGTACTAATGGTTTCATCTTTAATTCTAGGATTTAATTAAAAAATTATTTATTTCTAGTTTTTTATTCTATATTTCACTCTATTTTGAAGTATGAGTGCTAGGTTTCATTCTAATGATTTTTTTCTAACTAAATTTAATTTGCATGAAACATATGATTTCATTTTTTTAATCTTAAGGGCCAATATTTTTTAATGAAGTTTTTTTTCAAAAAACACTTAACCTCAAATTTCAATAAAATAAACATTATAACGATCTTTATGTAATTATCTTATGGATCAAGAAAAAAAAGCTAAATATAATTATACCTATATTAAAAATTAATTACAAAAATTTATTTGAGATAATAAAGAGGTAAGAAAAAAATTATTTGATATATGTACTACAATAATTTATTTATTAAATATTACATAATTAAAAAACAAATACATGAATATGTTAGAAAATAATCAAACATCTAAAGTAGAAAATGGAGATGGATCTTCCTAACATTATTTTCCTTTTTGTACGATGATTAGAATTGATATTATTAATTCTTCATCACCAATAAAACTGAAAGTTTGGTTATAATCATCAAAACTTCTATTTTGCTTCTGAAAATTAAAGAAGAAATATTATAATCTAATATGGTATCGAAAATAAAATAAAACAACAGTGTTTAGATATATGGCATACTTTCTAAATAAATTTAGAATCAAATTTTTACAATGATGTTTTCTTTGATATTAACTCATATAGCAACATAAAAATAGATACATGGATATAGTGGAAGAGGTTGAGAAAATGACTACTAATAAGATGATAATGTAAAATAGATAATGGATATTAAATCTTTAAAAATATCAAAAAATAAAGTAAGATATATATCATATATTCTCTAAAATTAAAATTTAGAATTACGCTTTTACAATGATATTAAATTTGATTTTCTTAAACCCATAGAACAACAACAACCAACCAACCAAAACAAAAAAAAAAAAGATTTGAGATATAGTGGAAGAGGATAAGTGATGCGGACATCCAAATCAAACCAAACCGAGAGTATACCAAACCAACCAGTACATGTATCAAACCGGTTGATATGGAGCATTTTGGAGGATTTTTGCCCAAATGGAGTCCGAATCAAGCACAAGGCCTAGGGTTAATTATTCACCAGCAAATTAACCCTAAGAAGACTAACGATAGTTCAAGAGGAATCAAAGACCAGCGAGCCGAATCACCATGTTGTGGAAATTTGACCGTTGCACTCTTTTTCCCTTATCTAGGGTTTGTCACAATGGGTTTACCTAGAAAGGTTTTTAACGAGGCAACATCAAGTCATCAAGGAATCATTTACCAAGCAATTGATTCAAAGATGTTACAAGTACATATAGCTGATGTACTTCCTGATAGACCGGCTGAACTACTTGCTGAACTACTCGCTGAACTACTTTCTGAAGTACTGCGCCAAATGAAGCCAAACAAGGAAAGCTTCCTTATTCTACACTTGAACGCACCTCAAAGCTACATATGGAAATCAGGAGAACATCTAGGCCACACAAGACATGTACGACACGAACTTTGGCACACCTTACCACACAAGAACCCGCGGAGTTACTACTTGCCATATATGGAGCCGAAGGAGATCAACTTTCAACAGCTCTTTCCTTCTTTATTTATGCGCTTGTGTGAGAATCTTGAGACCTTCCAGAAGCTTCCAAGACGTCACAACTTCCTCTCCAAGTTGACAAGATACAAGGCACACCTCACTTGCCATATTTGGACAGATTCTACAATTAATGTCCAATGGCCATATATTTTCATTCATGTTTGTGATTTGTTTCTTTCTTTGTAGTTTTAGAACGTGGTACTCAGCTCTATATAAGCTGATCTCTTATCTCATTGTAAAGCACCCTTGATCATATTAAAGTAATAGAAACGTTTTCTTCTTGTCAAAGTTTAAGTCTTTGTCATTTGTTCTTTAGTTCTCTGTGAGTGAGTCACTTAGTACTTCAGAAACCTGCGGATTGAGTTTGTTGAGTGATTCAACATCCTTTATTCGTTCATTGATCGAGTGAGTCGATTATCCCACTGATTGAGCGAGTCAATCACCCCGCTATCCATTGAATCACCCCTTGATTCACGAGAGAGTGCTTCAGAGCCAGCTCGTGAATTCCACCTTCCGCGTGACAAGCTTGGAAATCTCTTGATCATCAAGTGATCCAAAGTTGGAGTGATTCCAATCTTGTATCAATAAGAGAATGAGTGAATGGGTGAATAAAAAAAATGATTATTTATAGGATGAGAAGTGATGGGAGTTATAGTTTAAAAAATAAATTATGGGAGTTACAATTTTTAAATATAAATTATGGAAGTTACAATTTAAAAAATAAATTATGGGAGTGACAATTTTAATTTATTGTGTGTTGAATTAAATTGAGTGAAGGAATATAGTTAATGCATAGTTTTTATGATTTCAATTTTATATTAAAGTGTGGATATATATATATATATATATATATAGTTAAATGTGTTATTTATTTGTGGTTTAATTGGAATTTTTTCTAAGTCTTATTGCCTAGTGGACCAATAAGGAGAGAGTGAAACCTTACTTATATATATATATATATATATATATATATATATATATATATATGATTAGAAGTTCACCTGCACAATCATTCATTATGCAAATAAATATCAAAGTCATTATGAATTTAAACTCTGGTGATGCTAATTTGATTTTCTTTTTTTTTTGGACAAACTGAACTTGAATAAATAAGAGAAATGTCTTACACTCCAAGAGAGGAGGAATTGGAAAAAGCCACAAGGGCAAACAAAGCTAAGCAATCGGCTAAAACAAAGACCGTCTGTGGAAGAACAGCAAAAGATAGGTGCAAAGGAGTTACATAACAAAGCTATATCAAGGAAGATCCCTTTTAGCTTTGAAGTACTATCCTTAGCGTTGATGAGACAAACGAGGACAAGAGAGTCCCACAACACCGTTGGAGAGGCAAAATCCAGCTGACCGACTGCCGATAAGAGCGCACTGCACAATGCAAGTGCTTCCGCTACAAGGTACATTCATAACTTGTAAACGTCCAACCCAAACTGCAGAGACAAGAAGCCCTACCTGCAACATGGAATTTAAAGACTTCGAGATGCAAAGAGGAGAAAACAAAGCCTCCCGAGTCGATAACGCCAAACAGCAAGCAAAAGCTGAGCAAAAATAGTCATGAACAACAATTTTCGCTTCTGCATCAAGCAGAACGGTCTTGATAACACTGCTCCTTGTAACACTACTAAACACAAGTGAAGTAGTTAGGAGGAGAAAAAGCTCCATAAAGGAGAGATGAGAGCTATGGAAGCTCCGATGAACCCGATCAACTGGCCGGTTGAACTGAAACAAAGATCTAAGTCTAAGCTGCCAAAAGACAATTTCTAGCCAAGCCAAATCGAGACATAATCTACATACTGTAGTAAGTGATCGCATCAAGGTGATAAGGGTGCTACAAGAGAGCACAAACGTAGACACAAAAGTATCTAAACCCATCTAAATCGAATGAGCTAACTCCAAGTTCCACAAAACCAAAGCCACAAATTCAACGAACATCCAATTCCTTCCCATATTAGAAGAATTAGAGGGCGAAGAGCGCATGCATACCTAGGGGAACATTTGAGGAGAGAAGGTGAGGGCGTCGGCGAGATAGCAATGAACTCCAAAAATGGCGGTGGTCGAAGTGGTCAGATATAGACGAACATCAAGCTCTCCAAACCAGATAGCAAAGAGGGACTCGTCAAGACGCAGCAGTCCAATGCTATTGAGCGACTTTGCAGGCAGGAGTGGGAGACTCATCATCGTCGGTGGCTGAGCAAGAGAAACATCAAAGGAGAGGCAAATCTGAGGGTCCGGTGGGTCTGGTTGTTCAGGTGGAGTCGGCGGAGAAGGAGACTCCGGTGGTGGTGCAGGAGGAGGCCTCAGATCGAGGAACGCAACCGAAGACATCGGAAAATGACGAGAGTGGCTCGAATGAGACAAAGGAAGAAAGTCATCTCATGTGAAAAGTCTGACCGGAAAGACAACCACGTCGCCGAAAAAAGAGGTGCACCTGAGAGATCTTACCTTAGCAGCTAGCACCGATCTGAAAAGAAGCTGTCGGAGAAGCAACGTCGGAGGAAAAAGCTCATATCTTCAAGTAAAGCGGCTCCTTGGTTTTTGTGCCTGATAAAGATTATTTAAGGCGAACTAAACCAGTTTTAGAGACGGTGATGCTAATTTGATTAGAATAACAAATTTTAGCTAATAGGCAAAAAAAAAAAAAAAAAAATACAGCGTGTATGTTAAAAATGGCAATATTAATTTGAAAAATTAGGAATGAAATTAAATAATTGTGTTCAAAGTAAAATTCTAAGGATAGGAAAAAGTTCAAAATCATTTTGTTTTTGCTGTAAAGAAGCCAACAACATTACATTACATAGCCCACACTTCTTCTTTGCTCTCTCTCTAGACATCTTTTTGATTAGTCAACTATTTTTTTTTTCTCTCTCTAATTTCAACCTGTTGGGATTTTGTTGATTTATCTATAAACTATAAGGGGGTGTTATTGGTTTGGGATTTAGAAAGACTTTTAGTGACTTGATAATAAAGGATTTTAAAAGATTGTTAAAAAGTTTTATATTATCTTGATGATTTATTTTCCAAAATCTTGTAAAGTCTTTAAAACTTTTTTCCATAATCTTGTATACTCTTGATGACTTTTCCAAACTTTTCCTACAAAATATTTCCAAAATCTTGTCCAATTTTTATTAACGTCTAGTGACCATCTTCTATCTTCTATATAACATGTTCTGTGTAGGCCTGGTTTTCTTCTATATACTAGGTTGTTTATCAGAGTTACAGAGGTACGCTTCTTCTATCATAATCAGGGCCGGCCCACGGCTAAAACCCAACAAGCCAATGCTTTAGGCAGCAAAAATTGTATATATTTTTAAGGGCATCAAATTAATGTCATAAGTGTCCAGTAGCCTAGTGGTTGAGCAACATTTGCTTAACCTCCTCAACCAAGGTTCGAATCCTATTGCCTTTTTTTTCTTCCAAAACCGAATATTTTTCTTACTTTTTATTTTTATTTTAAATTTACCCGATTATTTGAATTTTCTAACTTCAATTTCCTTTTATATTATTATATTTGATTGATTAACATTAAATTATTCACTAAACATTTTAATTTGTTTTTAAAACCTATTTTGCTAAATCTTTTTTTTGTCTTCTTTTATATTTACTAAACAACTATATTAGATTGATTAATATTAAATTATTATTATTTTTTTCATTTTTTTTTAAAAACAATGATGCTTCTGTATTTTCTGTTTTTGGTTTTAAGACTTTTCCTTTATTTGAACTCATGTTAACATTAAGTTTCAAAGAATTATGCTGTTTTTTTAAGGAGATTTTTTTTTTTTGAGGCAACGATTTTTTTGTTTGCTTTAGGCATCAAATAACATTGGGCCGGCACTGATCATAATACTCGCTTATGAATTTCGTGTGTCGATCGTTAGATTCTTGTATGTTCATATAATATTTAATTGTTTTCATTGTGTTTGGATCTTTTGATTCTCTAGCACCAAAATCTATAAAATTTGCAAAAGTCAAGTGATGTGATACGTTTGGTTTAATAATATATACATGCGGAGATTTGCTTATGCTGTGATACGTTTGGTTTTGTGACAAGTCAATGGTCTTTTTTTTTTGATACGTTTGGTCCTCTTGAATATTCGCAATTTGGTCCATTCATTCACCAATCAAACACAAACCCAACAAATAGAAAACTGTTTATTAAGCGAAGACAAATAGATGACCAAGACAAAGACAAAAAACACAAACAGATCATATCATCTCATAAACAGATGTCTTTGTCTCCTCCATTCCCCAATTTTGGAACTTGAAATTGCTGGAGAACAGGAGAAGCAGCGACGGAGACGATTCCGGTGTCAAAGATTGCTGACACATACAAAGTCATGGACTCTATTCACAATCTCTCTATTTTATGGGGGAGTTTTCATGACTTTTTTTATGAAGAAAATTATAAAAAATCCTAAACCAATAACATAATATTTTAATTTATCAACAATCCAAGATTCTTTTGTTTTAATTGAATAACACAAAACTTTTAATGACTCTATAAAACTCTTAATCCAATAACACTAGATTTATAAAGATTTTAGATTACTTTTTATAAATCTCAAACCAATAACACCAAATTGTAATAGAGTTTTTAAAAGTCTTGATTGAATAACAACATATTTTACATAACTTTTAAACTCATTAAAAGTCTTTCTAAATCCCAAACCAATAACACCCCCTAAGCGTATTAAGTAAATAATAAGTTAGGGATCTAAATGCAATTTATGTAAATTAGTTTTACCCTAATCCTCTAGTACATTTGTATAAATAGTTGTAAGCCACCTTCTTTGATAAATAAGATTCTCTTAATCGTTACATGGTATCAGAGCTATCGCTCCTACAAACCTAATTTTTTTTTTTCAAGCCGTCACGATGACAAATCCAGAGAACACCAACCACACCATTTCAATCACCGCAAACACAATCCATCACATAAACATGTCCAATATCACAAAGCTTACGACAACCAACTACCTTGTGTGGAAACTCCAAGTTCATGCCCTCATTGATGGGTATGAGCTTCTCCACCATCTCGATGGATCCACGGAGCCTCCGGCTGCTACTGTCACTGTCGGATCCGTCACATCGGTGAACGCTGCCTACACAAAATGGCGCCGCCAAGACAAGTTGATTTATAGTGCACTCATTGGCTCGATCTCGTCAAACCTCCAGCAGATTGTAACCCGCACCACCACCGCAGCCGAGATTTGGGAAAAGTGATGTCTCTGTATTTTACCACTTTTAAGCTCACTTTTCTCGTACATTTAGCTAAGTTTTATCACTCTTTCATTGCATCCAGAGTCCTTTTTATAACATTTTCATCACTTAGTACGATTTGCATTGCATGGCATAGCATGTGGCATATTGGATGAGTTTCAGGTACTTTGGAGCTTATTTGGGACTTAATGGAGCAAGGAGGAACCAACACGACCTTGGAGCTAGACTTAGGATCGAGTTGGAGAGGAATGAAGTCGTTCAAGATCACCCAGGACCAGACTCGACGTCATGGCTCGATGACACGTCGAGTAGGACGCCAGGAAGCCGACTGGGAGCAGACTCGACCACACGGACTCGATGACACGTCGAGTTGGACATCAAGGCGCCACCTTTGAGAATCACATGGACTCGACGTGGCAGGCTCGACGTCACGTCGAGTTGTTCTCCGCCGACTCTCTATTTTGTCCTGTAGCTAATTAGGGCAACCTAGTATTTCCTATAAATAGGGGTTCACCCTATTATCCAGCGGATATTCTTTTTACCCAGCAGATATTCCACTGTTCTCTCAAAACCCCTAGATTTTGTAATCGTTTTTCCTGTTGATCCTTTGAGTTTTTGAATTTCGTTTCTTCATCAAAGTTGTAGATCTCCTTCTAATCTATAACATACTTGCTTTTTAATGATTTCTGGGTTTATGCAATTTTCTGGGTTTTTATGCATGATGTTCTTCAGTGTTCTTGAGTAGTGGATTAGGGTTCTTGAGGATGGGTTAGATTAGGTGTGGAATCCTTAGTATATTTAGGTGGTTAAGTGTAGAATTGCTTGATTTCCCTTCTGGTTTAGTAGATCTTAATGCTATTTCTTCTCTGATCAATTGGAAATAGATCTCAGACATTTCCACACTCACAAGGTGTTTGATGAAATGTCTGAACAAACTTTTCCAGAGATTTGCATACTCTAGCCCAAGAGATTGGATGATTAGAATGCTTATTGACTTTATTAGATTGAATCATAATGTCTGCTAGGTTATATTTCTTCAATGAGAATTGAGTATGAAAGTGATTTAGCTTGAGAATCTCTGTCACGAGAGTGGATTGATTTGTATTCGAATCTATTGTCTAGGGATAGCTTGATTGAGTTTGTTAACCACCTAGGTAGACTAAGGAGACTGCTATAATCGATTATCCCATTCCTCAGGACCCTTTTATCTCTATTGATTGTTTAAATCTCGTTTCTGTTAGCTTTTGTGTTCTACTCGACCTGTTAGGCCTAGAGCGTGTCTCTGCATTGTTAGGTTGTTAGTTTCTTTTCCAAAGCTTATGCATGATAGTTTCTGGTCTTTAGTTTACTTCTTGCTCTTGTTTACTTGCTGTTTAGTTCTCTTCCTTATGTTTTCGAATTCGGTATTCGCATGTTAAATTGGTTGCTTAGGATCAATAGAAACACACAAAACCCTTTCATAATTGGCTTGACTTATTTGCTTCCTGTGTATATCTTGAATGCTTGCAGTCACACTGAGATTGGATTGATAAACCTAATATACTACAATGGCATGTGTATTAGGGATTGATACTTGTTAGAGTAAAATCTTACTATCAATTTGGCGCCGTTGCCAGTCTTGTGTTGCATTGTTCCATTTAAGATTTCAGAAACATTTAAGATCAAGTTCTTTATTAACTTTGGTTACTAACTCTTCATTTCATCTGCTTGTTTTTGTGCTTCAGGTACTCTACTCGACCTGAGGTCGAGTTCACCACGTCCAGACTAGCTACCGTGCATGCAAACTCGTTCAAAAGGCTCCAGCAACCTCATCAGCTACAAAGACAACATCGATCGGTTAGCTCGTGAGTTGAGAGAACGTAGAGCCAGAGACGATTGTGAACCGCACAATCCAGTAGCCATGGAACCACAAGATCAAGATAATCAAGGAGTTGGTATACCACGGAACATTGGTGATGGTGATGCACCACGCAACCATCAACAGAGACAGGGCATCGTTCCACCTCCTGTCCAGAACAACAATTTCGAGATCAAGAGTGGATTGATCTCAATGATTCAAGGTAACAAGTTTCATGGGTTGCCTCTAGAAGATCACTTGGATAATTTCGATAGGCTCTGCAGCCTTACCAAGATAAATGGTGTTAGTGAAGACAGCTTCAAGCTGCGTCTGTT